GACAAGCACTTTGCCAGAATGTAATATGAATGACCTCTTCTACTTTCTAATAGAGTCTTCATTCTTATAACAAACCTAATAAGCACAAGTATTACTGTCTGTACTTGTTATGACTTGCATCTAGATGTTACCTCCAAAGCTTCATTCAGTTGTATAGGTAGGGCTCTTCAGAGGTGGCTGGATCTAGGGCGTATGATACTGGAGTTATAAGGACGTGTGGTACTGGATTAGTCCACTAATTGTCTTATCATAATAGTGAGTATAAATAATAAAAGGTCCCACCCTGCGTGTGAGTGACACCACCCAATAGACTTGTAGCCTGGATAAGAAAAGTGGAAGGGAGGCTTGTTGCTTGCTGTCTCCTGCTTACCCTGCCATGGACTGTTTCTCCTCTGCCAGTCACGTCTGGACTGCCATCCTGCCTTGGAGCTAGTTGACTGAAATCTATACAAACTAAGCTGGAATTAACCTTTCTTCCTTTAACTTTGGGTATTAGTATCTTGTCCCAGCAATGAAAAAAGTGACTAAGACAGTTTTCCTATTATCATTCTTGTCTTTGGAGATAACACCCACATGGTTTGTGTGTCTGGCAGTCCAGGGCTGTTGCTAGCTGCTTTTCCAGACATTTCCAAGCTCCTACCAACCAATACCAAAAGTTTCTGAACCACATTGTCAGAATGAGTCACAGCAGCTTCTAAGAAACAATTTCTAAGAAACAATTTTTCTGTGTTAGCTTTCTTGCTGCTGTGACAAAATACCTGAGAAAAACAACTTACAAGGGAAATATCAATTTTGGCTTATGGTTTCAAAGGTTCGGTTCATGACTGACTGGCTTCATTGTTTCTGGGCCTAGGGGGAGGCAATTTATCATGACGGAGGGAAGAGGTGGAAAAAAAGGGTGTCACCGTATGGTGGATGGAAGCAGACAGAGCAAGATCTTGTAGGAGCAAGATCTTGAAGTCATCGAGATTGGGCCACCATGACTCACAGCCTTCAGGTAAGCTCCATCTCCCAAGTCTCCATCTCCTCCTGATAATGGTATCATGTAATTAATCCATTGATGAGGTCACAACCTTCCTGGTTCAATCACCTCGCAGAGCCCGTCATCTGGTAGCCAAGACCTCAATGGGTGGCCATTTAGGAACATTTTTAATTTAAATCATAAATGCATCAAATGCATTCAGACTTTCTAAAATTTCATCATCTGGTTGAAAGATGTGTAATTTCCTTTCAGGATGTCTCGCTTATGTCATTGTCTACTGTACCTGTTTGTAATCATCTTTCACCTAATTCGAGGACACAATCTACATGTCATGAATATTAATGAGTCTTATTTAATAGGCATTTTATCACAATAAAAGTAATATATGTAGAAGAACAAGAAAAGTTTATGGATGTAAAAACCCCAGTGACTAAAAGGGTTCACTAGATAGGTGTCTGGTATGGTGAAATATTCTGTTCTTTGACACTGAATTTGCAGAGTGGTAACTTTCCATAACTAAGTGGTGCTTTTGTATCTGTAAAATTTTCTGTACATGTACTGCAATTGACAATATTCTTTATTACTCTACTGTCATTCAACTATCACATGCATGTAACTGTCTCTTTCCATTCAGTATTTGTATCTGACAGCACTTCCTTGCTCCTGTGCTTATGTATAAGATCTGAACATTAACATTACATTCTTTATATATAACATTTTGCACTTTTTTAAACTAATTTCTATACATCTCCTGGATATTAAAGTGTATCTTGAAAAGTAGGAAAATGAAGGTGAAGTGATTGATGTTTCCAAACATTCAGCTAACTTGTGGTTAGCAAAATAGGATTCCTCAAAATGTCCACGACCAAATCCATAGAACCTGTCAATGTGCTTTGTTACGTCATACAGAGAAATATTTAGGTTGCAGGTAAAATCAACTTTCCTAATAAATTAGCCTTAAATCAGAAATGTTATTCTGTATTATTCAGGTTGGCCAACTGTATTCACAAGCTTCTTAAAAGTGGAAGACGGAGGCAAAGAGGAAGTAAAAGCCACAGAGACACTTAAAGATCTTACGCTGCTGACTTCAAAGGTGGAAGAAAGGCCACCAGGAGGGAGGTAGCTGGGATAATGAAGAAACAGGCTTTCCCCAGAAAGCTTTTGAAGGATACAATGGTCCCAATGCTGTGCTTTTGTCTAATGAGACCAAATTTAGATTTAAATTTGTACTGATTTAAGCCACTAAGTGTGTGGTGATTTATTGCAACATCAATAGGAACTACTACAAAAACTTAATTATGTTGAGAACTTCCAGAATTCTAACATATTTCTCCTCCTGTCCAGGTTCTGTGTGTTTGACTAATTTCCTCCGATAACCATAGGTAGTGAGAGTATGAAGAAGATATTTGATATTTTGAATGTTATATTAAAAAAGATAATATAAAATTAGGAAGACAAAAATAAAAATTCAAGGGTGAACATAAAGAAAACAACAGAAACAGGACATGAAAAAGGGTGGAAATATGTGGTCAAGATCATACAGTAATGAATTCCCAACACTTCTGTTGACAAACAAGCTTCGGCAAAAGTTTGCTTCTGTTTGTGAACTTCACATCCAGTGACACATCAGGAGATGAACATGAACCAGTAATCTTCCCTGGAATTGTGCAGTAAATTAAATTTGTGAACTGATTAACCACTGTACTAGTTCGCAGTCATGAACCAAAGGAATTAAAGCCAAGATCACGATCTATTCAAAATACAATCCAGAAATGAACCTTATCCAATCTTTTTGCTGCAGAAATTGACATAGCCTCAATTAGGCTGAAAAGCACAGGGTCTCAATGGCATAACTAAATCCATCCTATTCCAGAACATTCAAAAGAGTGGGACAAATAAATTCAATCAACAACATGAAAATAAAAACTTTAATACCTAATATTAGACACATATATGCTATTTAACAAGTACACTATAGTACAATTCCAAGGACAAATTATGAAATCACAAAATAATTACTTCTGTTTGCTAAATTGCTTTGGTTTGGGATTATGTTCTCAGAGTTTATTGTTTTTAATACATGTTTACATTTATTAATATATTTTAATTGAAAAAGCATTGAAAATTAAATCTTATTCTTAGGCCTGCAATTTGAATTTGACTATGGAGGAGGACTTTGGGGAACAGCTTTCCCCAAGGTCATTATCTGGCTGCTTCATTTTCTTTAAATAGACCATATATGAGGTAGAAATAAGAGCATTTATTACCCAAGGTACTGTGAAATGGCAGAATTCTGTTGTTGAGCAAACTAAAGAACAAGCCAGACTGATTTCTACCAGCCTTCGAATTTAAGGTGGAGGAATTATCTGGCAGTAATTATTCACCCAGAAACTCCACAGCTATCTATCTGAATTTACTTTGGACAGCTAAACCCACATTACCCAAGCAGCAGATGGAAAAATCAAGCAAATTGAAGCCCTGAAAATTGCTGGTGAGAAGCTTTTTTCTTCTAAAACTAATGCAGAGTGCTGTGGGAAAGAATTCCATTACATCGGTAAACTGGGGCACTTGTGAAACAGTTGCTATCTAAAGTTTTCTGAAGAAAGGCAGGATGGAGTTATGATGGTAAGAGAAAGGGTTTCTCTATGTGAACACGGGATAAGGTGTCATACACCTAAACACGACAGTGCCAAACATTTCAAAGGATGGTGACGCCCCCTTATTCTGAAATGCTCAGGAAGAGGAGGGAAGAGAACCAAGCAACATACATAACAGTGACATCAACCCTCTGTGACTTGAGCTCCCTTACACTGAAGGGCTTTCTCATTGGAGAAATATGTATTTACTCAGTAGCAAAAGCAAAGGAGAAAAAAAAAAGCACATAAAATCAGGTATGTGCTCGATTCTGAATATTGATGACTACTGCTATTATTATCATTATTCTGTCATGCACAGGAACAGGAAGACTTGGAATGACTTTTCTGCCAACTCTAATATTCTGGCCCCGATGGAGCACAGCCCAATGATTTCCCCAAAGCTAGATGTGCCAGGCGCAGAGCTGCTTCAGAGAGCTAGGTAAGTGCTCACAAAGAGCTCAGTGGCAACAAGCTCTAAACTCAGTAGGTCTTTGGGGAATGTGTCCTCAGGCAGATGACTAGCCAGAGAGACCATTTGAATCCAGGCTTCATTTGAGAGTCAAGAAATCCTTTTAATCACAACTATTTCACATAAATTTTCCCCCTAAACAGTAACTATTACTAGTAGGAGTTTCCTCAGTAACCCCCATCAGAGTGGCTAAAACTCCACCATTGAAGATTCGTGCATTTAAAGGAAACATTTTAACTTTCTTAAATCCATTCTAGTTATCATTCTTACCCCTCTTGAAATAATGCATTCATCCAAACTGAAGGACCTAACATAGCCAGAAACTAGAAATACGAGGAGGCATGAAGAGATGTTAACCTCAAGGGGCAGGGTGTTTTTCATTTTATTCATTTTTCTTTGCTTCAGTTAACAAACGAATACTTAACTACCAAGTCAAATTAATTATTGAGGAATGCTAAAGTAATCTGAATTTGTAGATGAAGAAATTGCCTAATTTTGTTTCCTTCCATTTCAATCGAATAGGACGAGCTTAGTCTGCATTATTTAAAAAGTTGCTTCATCTTTTATTTGTGCCTCCATATCAGGGTTTTATCTATTCTATACTTACAAAAGTAACTAACTTCCATGACAGCAATTACTGTTAAGAGGACAAGGTGATGGTGAAATCGAAACTCTGTCCTTCCACGAATGACAGGAACTGATTAAGTTAAATGATTTGCTTAAATTGTAGTATTGTGGTGTCAGAATCGGGTTTGTGTAAGTTTCTTCTGCCATGTCTTGATTGTGATGTGACCAGATGAGGAGCTACACACTCATTTCCACCAGATCCAAGTTTCCTAAGTACAACAACCCACAGAGATTGCCTAGTGTCAACTACTTGAGGCCACGTGAGTGAATATGGTCACCAGCGACGGTAGCATTCAGAAGGGAAAATGTGACATGTGTCTCCACTTCTGCATCAGAAATAGAACAGACATTTCTGGGTATATAAACGTTGCCATATTCCCCCCACAGAAGTTGTTTCAAAATTAAGCAGAGTGCCTACACAAAACACAAACTAAGCAAGTTTAAAAACAGACGAGTAAACCTTAAAAAGTAAAAGAGGAGACACTTTATAATACATGAGACTCCAGGGATTTTTTTTTATCTCTCTGAACTTTGTTTTCTTATCTGAAATGAAAAAATAGATACAATGAAGTAACATGATAGAAATACATGCATGGTAAGTTTTTAAATTTGCATATTAATGAATGGGAAGTAACCACTTTCCCAATTCCGACTACTGCAAATATTTATTTGTTCCTGAGTTAGAAATAAATGATAACAGTCTTTTCTGTGTGTCCTTCAGATAATTTCATTGTCTCTTGGGAACATGGCCTCATGGACTCATTCCAAGGAAAAATTAAACAATGTAACTGAATTCATTTTCTGGGGTCTTTCTCAGAACACAGAGGTTGAAGAAGTTTGCCTCGTGGTGTTTTCGTTCTTCTACACAGTCATTCTTCTGGGAAACTTCCTTATCATGTTGACAATTTGCCATGGAAACCTGTATAAGATGCCTATGTATTTCTTTCTCAACTTCTTGTCTTTTGTGGACATTTGTTACTCTTCAGTCACCTCACCCAAGATGATAGTGGATCTGTTAGCAAAGAACAAAACTATCTCCTATTTGGGGTGCATGTTGCAACTCTTTGGGGTGCATTTCTTTGGCTGCACCGAGATCTTCATCCTCACCATCATGGCCTATGATCGCTACGTGGCCATCTGCAAACCCCTACACTACATGACCATCATGGATAGGGACAGATGCAATAAACTGTTGCTGGGGACTTGGGTGGGTGGGTTCCTGCACTCCATCATCCAAGTGGCTCTCGTAGTACAGCTCCCCTTCTGTGGCCCCAACGAGATTGATCACTACTTTTGTGATGTTCACCCTGTGCTGAAACTCGCCTGCACGGACACCTATCTTGTTGGTGCTGTGGTGACAGCCAACAGTGGGACCATCGCGCTGGGGAGTTTCGTCATCTTGCTCATCTCCTACACCACCATCCTGCTGTCTCTGCGGAAGCAGTCGGCAGAAGGCAGGCGCAAAGCCCTCTCCACCTGTGGTGCCCACGTCGCGGTGGTCATCATCTTCTTCGGCCCCTGCACTTTTATGTACATGCGGCCTGACACAACCTTCTCTGAGGACAAGATGGTGGCCGTGTTCTACACCATCATCACACCCATGTTAAATCCTCTGATTTACACCTTGCGAAATGCAGAAGTGAAGAACGTGATGAGGAAACTGTGGATCAGGAAGGTTTTCTAGGGGGCCAACAGCACATAATTGAAAATAATCATTAAACTTGGATGAGGTTAAATGTTTTCAGTCATGTTGATTCTTTTGTACAGTGAAGATGTAGGAACCACCTCACAGGTTCTGGAGGAAAATGCTCAAGAAAATGATATATTGTACAGAACTGAAGTATGATCATTATAATTACTGTAATATTTTATGTTCAGATGATTTCCTGAAGTGTACCCAACAGAGAAATCAGCATGGTCAGAATCTCAAGCATGATTATCTTCAGCATCCTTATTTCCTCCTCCTCCTTTTACCTCTTCCAAGTTCTTTAAAAATAAGAGTGTTCTGTGAGATATTAAAGGCTGCTTCTAAGGTGTAGAACTATGACTGGTACATACTGGGTATTCAATGTTTATAAATGACATGAATACTATAATACGTGAAAAACACACATAAAACCAGTATAGTCTGATAAAAGTTCTCCAAACACAGGGAACACTGATTTAGTAAATTTGGAATATAAGTAAAGAATGTGAAAGAGATAGCACAAGCTTACAACGCAAAAGGTAAGTTTTCACCTCTGATCCCAGAAAAACGATGGTACTTGTCGTCTTTACACTAACACAAAGATGGGAAGGGTTGATCTGTAAAATTCTTACATTTGTAAGGTGCTATTCATATTCTTTTCATTGTGGACAAATATTTCTTTTTGTGTGAACTGATATTTTCCCTAGTGATATGTTTCTCCTAGACACTAGAGGAACCTAGACAAGAGGTTTCTTTTCTTTTCTTTTTTTTTTTTTTTTGTAATAGAAAATGGTTCATATCACTGACTGTATCTGCCACTGTTTCATTCCCCTTTCCAGAAATCCAATTATCCACACAAAACACTATACTTGAGTCTGTGCTTATGGTTGGGGGTAGAGTATACACATTAACCATTGAAAGAACTACAGGGCTCAAAAGATATATGATGTTGATGTACCCAAAGATAAAGGGAAAAATTTTTACAAGCCACAGAACATCTAGATTAGAAGTAATAACCACGTTATGAACCTTGCCCTGGAACCATGCGAATCCGTGTTGATTTTCCCCGTTTAGATTTGCATTCTCTTGGTCTCTCTGTGCCTCTTTTGTTTAATTTTAAAACAAGGACTGGGTCAATGTTTTTTACAAATCTGGCAGATCATCAGATTCACCTTGATCTTTTTCACAGATAACAAGATGAATTTTTAGAGATTCTTATGGGTTAATATTGAGAGATATAAAAAATGTATATTCTTAACCAGCTCCTTTGGTAATTTTTGTGCACTCAGTTGCATATCTGGAAAATTGAGCTTGGAAACTTGGTCTGGGGATTTTTTAAAATTTCTTGATTATGTTTGCAACACATAATTATACTCATCCTAGGGAACTGTATGTACACAGACATGTCACGTCCTTCCCGTATTCTCCTCCTTTTGTCTTGAGCTCTCCTCTCTCCTTCCCCAGAATTCTTTATTATCTCCATAGATCCTGCCGCCCTGTTTCCTTCCATGTCTCTTTTTTTTATTTCAAATTATTTATATTTTGTGTTCCACATATTAGAGAAACCCTTTGATATTTAACCTTTTGTGTTGATTTATTTCACTTAGCAATGTGGGATTCAACTCAGTACCTTCATGCAATGAACATCCCTAGTGCTTTTATTTTTTGTTTTAAGGTCAAGCTCACTAAGCTGCTAAATTGACCAGGTTAGGCTCAAACTCGCAATCCCCCTGCTTCAGCCACCCATAGCACGAGGATTATAGCCATGCACCACCATGCCCGGCTCTGTGATTTGTGAGAGTCCTAGAACATAAAAGCACCAACCAGAAATCAATGAAATTTAGAAAGACCTCAAAAAGAGATGAATAAGAATTGGGAAAGCCCGGACTTCTCCGTTTTCAGTGTGAGTAATTCTGATCAACAATGGCATTTTCCCCACAGATTCATGATCACAACCCTGATTTACAGCTTCATAGAGCCTTTGACTTACTGAGACAAGGTGCTCCATGAGACACTGGATCTGCACTGGTGAAAAACAGGACAATTGTTCTCATTGTCAAGTTGAAAAGAAAGCCACTTATTTAATAGTGGAAATAATGAATGCATTTCTTCTAATCAGTGGTCACATTTCTGTCCCCTAAAGCATCATAAAAATATCATAATTGCATTTCTGTCCAATTTTAATCAAACATGTAAACACAGCTTTCATGTTCTACCATATGTCATTTCTGTTTTCATTTACATATTTTAGGAAAGTAAAATATTTATCACACATTGAGGTCCTAGAATTTAACTACATTTGAATTCCCTGAATTGGGATGCCTCATTCGGCCCTTGTTCTGCTGTTCTGGTTCTCATACGGTGACAGATTATTAATATACTTGGACCATCAAAGGGTAAGTAATATATCCATTTATACATGAGAAAAATAAATCTTAAATGGAATCCTGAGCCTACCTTGAAATCTTGAAGTAAGCTCAGCCAAGCCCAGCCTAGATGAGGTGAGCTAAAGTGGACCCAAAGAAACACGACTTAAAATTAAAGGCATGTTATGCCGCGAATGTCAGAATGACTTGGTACTGTTTTTACCACTACTGATATGACTAGTCTGCAGTGGTGTCTTGGGCATGGAAGGGGATCTCTCCATCATAGCACTGTACCCTAGCCTGTTACACAGCATTATTAATCCTGCCCATCCCAGAAGGGCAGGGTCCAATTCTACAAGTGGAGATGCTGAAGCATGTTCTTCAATTAACAAATCTTCCAGAATTTAAGTGCAAGGTGCTCTGAAAGGAGCACTTAACTCTAACTTAGAATAAGTGAGTAATTATGGCAATTAAAAATGTAAAGATGAGGACTTAAAAAAGTATTTAATGTACATCTGTTCTGACCATCTCTCCTCAGAATGACAGTCTGCATTTCAAATGTAGCAGCAAAGTTCACAGAGATGAAGTAAATCCCCTCAGTTTCACATCTAGCCAAGTGTTTCATATGCCTCCTTGTAGCATTTATTTATCCATTTGTGGGTGAATATTTCCTTAGCACCCTATTGAAGACATTCATTATGTACTGCTAACATGTACAAAGAAAAGAGAACAGGGGTTAAGGGATGGGTGGAGGCAGGATGGAGAGAAGGGAAAAGGGGATGGAAAAAAAAACAGAAAGACACTCGAGTTTCAGAATAATCCTTCATTTAGCGTTATGGTGTCACCTATGTAACTTATTTGATTGATGGAAACAGGAGTTTACTTGCACATATCCAATCTGAATACTTCCATGCCTGGGCATCACCTCCACTCCTCGAGTCTTTGAGTAGCAGAAACTGCGTGGACTCTGCAGCTTCTCCCTCAGATCTGTCTCTGTGTGTGTGAGTTCATAGCTTTCTGTTCAACCTCGGGATGCTATGGCCCAAGAGGCAGTGTGGTACAACAGAAGGGGTCCAAACTACACAAAACTGACTCTGAAAGCCAGCAGTCATAACATGGGTAAATCATCTCACTCTCTGGTCTTTCTCTTATCCCAGTGGTGACAGGACAAACAATTTCACTGTCACCTATTACGATAATAGCCATTTCTACCAAGGCACTTAGCCACTGTTCAGCCTTGGATAGCATAAAAATGTGAGGTGGAGGCAGAAACAAGATGATATAAAGAAATAAAATAAGTTGTGGAGAGAAGTTAAGCCCTATTTCATTTGGAAGTTGGGGACATAAAGTCTCAGGTGATTTCTTCATCTGCAAACTCAGCGTGCTTGATGATTTCCCAGGATTTTCTATCCATTAGCATTTTACACATGTGTGTAGTAAAATAATAGAAACAAACAGATAATCAGCAACAAGAACAAACTCTGACAAAAAATGAAAAGCACAAAAAGGAAATGTCAATATCCCTTCGTGAACCGTGCACATGTTCATGTCTCGTGGCAGCATTTCTAGGTTGGGTGAGATCAGTCCGGAAGGAAGAGATTGCCATTTGACGGTGATTCTTTTAGGTTTGGGAAAAGGGGATTTTCAATTTAAATAGATAAATCTCCAGAGTTGGAGTTTCAGATGGGTCACCTTTATTATTCGTGTGGAGAAGAATGTAAGGAGAAATTTCAACTACAGGGGTTTCGAGGTTCTTTCCCACATCAAGCCAGTCCTCTAGCAGGTTCCCTCTTTGACACTCCATCTCCACAGTTGCAGTTGATCTTGGCCAAAAGGCTGAGAAGTGATTCCGTTCCACTATGTCCACTACTGTTGAAGCAGTAATTGTAGGAAAGGGAGCAGGAAGCACCAACACCAGTGCTAGCTGTTTGCAATAATAATGGAGCAGGCATTTCCAACTTGTGGAAAACTATGGATTGTGTCCCATCTGTGTATTAGCATAGTTATTGCAGGCCTGCCTTCTCCTGCACCACAAAACAATGATACTAGCAATGATAATGATAGAAGCATAATTATAATTTAGATTCAGAACCAGGTACATTCTCCTATTCGTGTGTTTCTTCTCATTTCACTTTCTAGCTGAATTTATAAAGCAGTACTATTCTCTGCTATAGACTCTCAGATTAGAAGAACTCAAATCAGCTTTTGACAACTTTGAATTACATTGCATAACTCACTTTAGAAGAAATTGTACAGCGAGCCTGGTTGGTGTTCTGATGACCTGGAGAAACTGATCACCTTAAATCAAGACCCATCCCAAAGGCAGTTTTCCTCATCGTTCTAACCATTTCAAACCTGCTAACATCTCAATTTATTAAATATCGAGCTTTTCTTATTCACATTGTGCTACCCTCGGTGTAGTCTTACACAGATGTCCTGTATTATCTAACCATCTTGATTTTCACCCCTCTATAATTAGAATATTACCTTGCAATTATAACGTGGCTGTTTAAAATTTGAACGGGCACACTAAAAATATGGTAGAATACCAAACAACCTACAGTAGATACAGAAAAAAGGAAATCTCACCTATATTTTCCAGGGCTTAAACTTTGCTTTACTTTCCCAGTATAATCTGGGTGCAACTGTCCAAAGTAGAGTGGTGCTCAAGGTCTTGGTCTGGGAATAATTGGCACAGACAATCTATGACTGCCTACAGTCAAAGGCTGGCTTGTTGAAATTAGTGTTCCTTGCTTTCTAGTTCTCTCAACTAATAAAATGCTCTATTTCACAGTACCTATAGCAATAAATGATTTTTTCCTGTAGTAATAAAGTCCACTTAAAAGAATGATGCAATACAATAACGACCTTAGGGAAGCTCATTCTCAAAGTTTCCACCACAATGAACCAAATCATATGTTGTATCAATCAGTGTTTGCTAGAGAAACAGGTACAGCACAAGGTACACCGGTGCCTGAGAATTTATAAGATTGGATTACAATGGCCACCCAGAGTCAGACGCAGAAGAGAGCAGAGGGTCTGTCTGCACACTGGAGACCCCAAGGATGTGGTCGAAGACCTGGAGCTCACTGCAGGGTCCCACGCGAGTCCATGTCAAGAGGCTGATGGGTCTGCGATGGAGGCCGAAGGATCTGTGCCAGGAGCCAAAGAGTCTGAGCTGGAAGGCAGGAGATGACGTCCAAGGTGCGGGTGCAGACTGGAGCTCCTCCAAGAAACAGAAGCAGGTCAGCCCTTCTTCACTTCCCCTTTATAGCATCCAGCAGTGGAGGCCCACACTCGACGTGGGATGGGCCTTCCGTGCTCTAGGGTGTGGAATCGCTGAGCTAGTTCAGCTGAGCTTCTCTCACTCAAGTTCAAACAATCGATCAACCATCACACTTACCTCACAATAAGATTTAATGCACAGGTTTCTTTTGAACTTTTTAAACACTAAAAATGGATTTGCTTCATTTTAAACAAATTCTCACCCCTAGGATCATTAACCTAATCCACAGTAATTTGGCAAACTGAGTAATTATGTGATCAAATACTTTCTCCTTGAATTAATGATTTTTCAATGCATATATTCAATGGAACCATTCTCTATGAATGGAAAAGTGTAGTAAAGCCTGTTGCATGAAAACCATTCTGCATGAATGGAAAAGCGTAGTAAGGCCTGTTGCATGGAGCCTGGGGCCTGGCTTGGAGTTTGAACCTGTGATGAATCACCAGAAATCAGGGTCTGCAGAGCCCAGCCTGGAGCTGAGTGTCTGGGCCTTAAAGGACATTCTGCAGAGCCCAGCCTGGAGCTGAGTGTCTGGGCCTTAAAGGACGGAGCCGCCAGGGTGGCCATGGCCACTGGCCACTCGGAAGGTTTTCCACATGGATCGGCCTGGAACCAGGTCCACAGCACTGACTGCCTCAGTGCTGATGAGTGCTGCCATCCCATTGGCTGCAATGGAGGACGGGACTGTAGGATGCAGCTTGTCCCCGGCCACTCTTAGGGAGTGAAGCCGGGAGCGCTGAGCCAGCCGTAGGATGGGCCTGATCCACTTAATGGTTTTCACCCTCATACCATCCACCTCTGTTCAATCATTTCCTCTTCCTCAACTCTGGTCTTAAAGGCAATATTCTGTGACCAGCTGACCAATCAGGAGAGGATCTTGTCTCATGTCCAAAAGCGTCACCTTAGTCTTTCCATTAAGTTGGAATGAGCCTCTACTCATTGGGAAAAGTATTTGTGGTACTTCCTTGATTTGCATGTGTTATCCCAATCTCTGCTTTCATTTGCACACATTCCTCTTAGTGTCTCTCTGTGTCGAAATATCCTCGTTTCTTTGGGTAAAGACATTCATCTTAAATCTGAGATCAGTTTCTTGCTCCACAATTTCCTCATGGCGTTTTTCACTTCTGTATTCCTCAGTGTGTAAATCAGAGGGTTGAGCAGAGCTGTCCCAACCGTGTAAAACACAGCTACCATCTTATCCATGGGGAAGGTGGTGGCAGGGAGTGTGTAGATGAATATGCATGGTATAAAGAACAAGACAACCACAGTGATGTGGGAGATGCAGGTGGAGAGGGCTTTTCTCCTCCCTTCAGCACTGTGGTTTCTGAGAGAATGCAGGATGACAGCATAGTTGAACATCAGCAAGACAAAGCTCACTGTACAGATGGCCCCACTATTGGACACCAGCAGCAGGTTGACCACGTAGGTGTCTGCACAGGTGAGTTCCAGCAGGGGCTCCAGGTCACAGAAATAGTGATCGATCACGTTGGGACCACAGTAAGGCAGGCTCAAAGCCAGGAAAATCTGAGCTAAGGAATGCACACAGGACCTCACCCAGGCCACGGCCACCAACACTGCACAGACCCTGAGGCTCATGATGGTCGTGTAGTGCAGGGGCTTGCAGATGGCCACGTAGTGGTCCACTGCCATGAGGATCAGGATGAAGACCTCCAGGCAGCCAAACAAATGCATGGAGAAGACTTGGATTAGGCACTCACTGAAGAAAATTATGT